GGAGAGAGAGAGAGAGAGAGAGGAGGGAGGGAGGGAGGGAGGGAGGGAGTCATGGACGGATGGACATGTATGGGCAGGCCTATGGATTAATACAATCACTGTATATACAAAGGCAGGTTACCTTGTGGACAAGTGTGACGCTTCTGCGCTGATTGCCAAGGGCATACTTAATGGCCGCTCTGACCAGTCTCTTAGACCCTTCCTCGGAAACTGGCTTGATACCAAATGCAGATGATTCCGGGAATCGAACCTGCACATTGTAGGACAGGTACATCACTTTAACATCCATCTGTCAACAAATAGAAAAACCTCTCTCTCTCTCTCTCTCTCTCTCCGTGTGTGTGTGTGTGTGTGTGTGTGTGTGCAGAGGACGGGAGCAACGAGAAGGGTCTGTGAAGGATCGGGGAAATGGGTGAAGAGTGCAGCCTTGTGCCGAATTGGGGCAGCCTTGGAAATTGTCACAGCGCCGGATGCCCTAGACTTGAAATTTTGTCATATCGCACCCTGCAACGACCTCTGTTTCCGAGAACATGTCACCCTCCAGACATCTGATGTCTCTTCATCACTAGAAGGACATCAGATGCAAAAGACGACAAGTCCTAGAAGGACATCAGATGCGAAAGACGACAAGTCCACGACTCTTCATCACTTCCAAGAGTAGCGTGATCGACCCAACACCACCGCCATCGCCACCGCCTTCACCACCGCCACCGCTCCCGCCATCGCCATCGCCATCACTAGAAGGACACCGCCATCGCCACCACCATCGCCACCGCCACCGCTCCCGCTCCGCCCATTCATCGTCATCGCCATCGCCATCGCCACCGCCACGTAAGGGATGATACCGATCTCCTTATTCAACGTCACCGTCACCGCCTCCGCCACGTAAGGGGCGGTACTCACCTCTCTCCTGCTGACCCCTTCTCGATGGCCGGTCTTGAGGGTAGAGCACAGCATACGAATGTGATCTATCTGCACTCCGAAATCACATAAATGCAGGATCACATCATTACACTACCATCTTCACCCCAATCGAGCGGATGGTCATTATAGCTAATATACTTGGGGCAACTTTCAGTCTAGATACAGCCATAACAACTGTGTTCTATTCGAGGGAGACGATGGTCCTGAATAGGAGCTTCATAAATTTCATGCTCTGTTCTCACTCGGGATTACATTTTTTTTTTTTTTACTAGTTCTATCCATCTCCAGGGAAACAAGGACTCGAAAAACCAGATCGAAACTCTCGAGTCATTTCAAACGGCTCAGAGATCACACGTTTCTCTGAATCATCGTATTGTACTAACGGATGACCCTCAAAACCATAATCTGTTAATAAACTTAATAATAGTTAATATACGTTACGTAAATCAGTATATGTAAGATAGAAAAGGATAAACTTTTGAAAAGAAAAAAAAAAAAAAAAAAAAAAAGGATAAATGATAATGTTCAAATGTCAAACTACCGTGTCCATACCATTACTGAGTCGTCAGAATTTTTTATTTCTTCTTTTTTTGGGACCGTTTCTCGATTTATGCGTGTCATCCCTTGATTACGCAGGGGCCATTTTTGCTAATTGCCCTTCTCTGTACTGTTCCAATTTTGACGGATGTCCCTCCCGAACGACTGAGTCGCTGAAATTTACCTCCTGTCTCTATCTTTTAACAGAAAGACACGATTCAGGAAGTCAGCTGTGTACCAACCGACCACACAATACTGTCTTCACCCCCGAATAGAAAGCATGGTGACTATCGATGTACGTAGACTGAAAGTTGGCCCAGATACACAGCTGCAATGCGTTATATTCCGGGGAAGAGGATCGCAGCCGAAGTTATCACCAGACACCACACAGGGTGGGTGGTGTTGGCACATCACGACAAAAAAAAACATGTCACAGATGTCACAGAGATGTGACAGCTGGGACTGATAAATCTCACCGGTCATAAATGTATGATAGGTGGTGTGCACCTCACAAGATGAGGGAGCCCACACTACCGTTTTCTCCCAAACACAATGAAACCGGCCTCACAATTGCATCTGGACTGGATCAGGGTTTCTATACGTTGCATGCTGATGGGGCATTTAGTTGGGGGCAAGTGGGGGCAAGAAGGTAGGTGGCGTCTTACACGTTTTACAGATAGCACTAAATTGGCAGATGATGCGGGATCAACTTGACTACTGCCCTCAAGCGGGACTCACGTACGTCATTCCTCAGTGAAACACAGAGAGAGAGAGAGAGAGAAGTTAAGAGAGAGAGAGAGAGAGAAGTTAAGAGAGAGAGAGAGAGAGAAGTTAAGAGAGAGAGAGAGAGAGAAGTTAAGAGAGAGAGAGAGAGAGAGAGAAGTTAAGAGAGAGATAGAAGAGAAAGAGCTGCGAGGTTGATGAGAGACCAGAGGCAGACTGCACATCTACCCACCTTCTTGTATCGCTCAGGGAAGAGACTCTGAAGCGTTTGTTGGAACTTGTAACAGCTAGGAGTTCCGCGCTCAAACTCGATCCCCGCATAGATATCTTCAGTGTTCTCTCTGAAGATTACGACATCGACAAGCTCCGGATGCTTCACAGGTGAGGGCACTCCCTGAAACGCGAACACCGACACACACAACACAAATGCACACACACACACACACACACACACACACACACACACACACACACCAAACAGTGGAGTTCGTTTTTATGTTATCTTCTCCTGAACCTGAATTCTTACGCCATATATTAGCACGACATTCTTACATTAACAAATCACCCCAAAAAAGAAACTCAATGGTTCTGCATCACCCATTCATTACATTGTGTAATTAGTAAGAGACTACAGCATAATCCCCTCCCCTTCTTCTCACCCCCCCCCCCCTTCTTCTCCCCCCCCCCCCCCCCCCCCCCCCCCCCAAAACACACACACACACACACAGAGTTATGAACCCTGTAAGAAACAGAGGGGGATGGACGACGCCTGTGGAACTTTGTTTTCAAGGTCCCCACAACAGCATCGTCCTAGACCCCTCATTCACTTCTTGTGAAAACAAGGAGGCAGGGAGGGCGGGGGGGGGGTGGGGGGGGAAGAGGAATCAAATTAACGAAATCACTCTTCCAACCCCAAAACAACATACCGAGGTTTTCGTTTCGAAATCAGCTCTTGACAGTTGATGACTGGCAACGATAAGTATAAGTGTGCAGCAATAAGAAACAAGAGTGCCATCTTTCCCCGAGCACAATGGACACTGATTATGAATGTATACAAGCAACCTATACGGTCCCATACATCCAAAATGAGCGTGCGTTGTGTTCAGAGGAGGACGGCTAATCTGTTTTTGGGCTCTTGACGGACGGATGTGCCTTGGCGGTGAAGGCAGCCGCAACCCCTGCCGTCTTCCCCCAACACAATGCTGCGAACAGTGCCCGTATCGGACTGCAAATACGGCATGTATACATAATCATGGTCAGGGTGCATTGTGGTCAGCAGAAGACGGTGGACTGATCTTTTTTTGTTTACAGCCGGGATTTGAACCCGCGCCTGGTTGAGTTAAGAGTTGCAGGCTTACGCCTGCGCACGTACTATTTTCTCTTTCTATATATTCTTCTTCTCTCAACTTCTGTTTTTGCCTTTCACTACCTACTCTCCTAAGGCTATCTAGAGGGGACCCCTGCAAGCATAGTTTCATCTCACTGTGAAGGGGAGATTTCATGTTGCCCCTTGCCCCTAATGTGGTGGGTATAGGGTTGGGGCCGCCAGTGGGGGTCTGGCTAACACAAAGGCCGAGACCTGCCAGTAGCTGCGCCTCCCTTTCTCATCGTCCCCCACCCCTCATCGAGTAGCAGCAGTGGCTATGGCCAACACACTCCCACACACCACACACAACCCACTCGCGCTCGCACTCACACCCATGTTGGTCATAGATTCCACTAATTGAACACCGGGTCCTGGGTGTAGTGGTTAAATTAAGAGACCTGGCTCTTGAGGCCGAGGTCGCCGGTTCGAGTCCGTGCAGGTGTACGGAGGAGGGCTTAGGGCCAGCCAGATGATGTACGGATCCAAAACTACGACTATTACTACTATGCAGAGAACAAAGGGAAAGATGGAAAGTGAATTTCACAGTTGCAGTCTTCTTGTAGGCAGGCACATGCATGCATAAATGCAGACAACACCCAGGATCAATGAAAGATCAGGCCTTCTAGACTGTTCTCAAGGTGTGTCTCATTCATGGCACACACACACACACACACACACACACACACACACACACACACACACACACACACACACACACACACACACACACACACACACACACACANACACACACACACACACACACACACACACACACACACACACACAGACACACACACACACACACACACACAGACTTTCATGGATGCATCTCATCGAAATCAGGGCGAAATTCAATCAAAAAAATTGCACCCAGGATAGATGTAAGGGGTGGAAGTTTTGATTCCTTTCTGTACGAGCTTTTTGGATCAACCCTGCTAGGAATCAAACCGGTGATCTCGGGTTCAACAGCCAGGCGACACGATGTTCCAAAGTCAAATCATACTGGTAATGTTATGCACTCCGTCAGGCTTTCTAGACTGTCATAAAGGGTGTGTGTGTGTGTGTGTGTGTGTGTGTGTGTGCGTGACATGTGCATCGCACACACACACACACACACACACACACACACACACACACACACACACACACACACACACACACACACGTGGCTTTCATGGCACACACACACACACACACACACACACACACAAACACACACAAACATTTCCCTGGATGGATCTCATCGACATCCGGTTGGTAGTGCTGAGGAACTTAGATGCTTCTGCAGCAGGAGCAGCTAGCTGTGCCAGAACAGAAGAGGAGAAGCCTTTTGGAAAGCCTGGAAATGTAGAGGTGGTGTTAGGTAGATGGTCCTACTTCAGGTCAGAAATGGATTTTCCCTCACAGATCTGGAACGTCGGTTTCTTTCGGCAGCCAAGCGCCTGCAAGCTATACGTTGGCTGATGCTGCTGTCAGTAATCCGGGTACAATTGTGAGGTCCCCCGCCTCGAATTGCGAGCTTTTTAACGGATTGAGATGTTGATTTCCAAAAAAAAAAAAAAAAAAAAAAAAAAAAAACGGTTGGCGTTAGGCTCGGATCTTGATGAAGAGAGAAGAGGAGCGACCTTCGAATTGCAGTCCGCATATGCAGTTGGAGAATGCATGGTGATAAACCAACCTGCCCAGGGGGTAGAGTAGAGACCAGAAGCCCCCCCGGGGGCTGAGGTGGGGTGGTGAAGAGGGGCAAGACCGATCTCTCTGTTTCTTGATTAACACCCCCCCCGCCCCCCCCCACCTGGTCTCATCTCATGCCGACCGACAATCACACACAACCGCCGCAGATGAGGAGCTGAGTTGGCGTGCGTTCGAATCCTTAGGGCCAGGACCGATCTCTCTGCCTCTTGATCACCCCCCCCACCACCACACACACACCTGGTCTCATCTCATGCCGACCGACAATCACACAGAACCGCCGCAGATGAGGAGCTCAGTTGGCGTGAGTTCGATTCCTGTACGAAATCAGAAAAAGGAATATAGCTGTCAGATGAGCTGTGTGTGGGTGTGGAGTCTCTTACCTGGTACCATCGGACAGGGCGCAAACAGACATACAGATCTAGCTCCTGCCTAAGGGCGACGTTGAGAGATCGAATCCCTCCGCCAACAGGCGTTGTCAGAGGGCCCTGCAGACAGAAAAATATAACATCAAATCAAAGAACCGAAAAAGGAGTGTGAGTTAAGAAATATACGTATATATACCATCAAATCAAAGAGAACCGAAAAAGGAGTGTGAGTTTAAAAAAAAAAAAAGAGGAAATGATGCACAACAGGGTTTGAAGCCAGCCAGTAGGAGCACGACTAACTAGCATCCCTAACGGTCTTCACCCGAATAGAACGCCCGGTCATTATATACCTGTGTATTTGGCACACCTTTCAGCCCACAGATGCGGCGATAACTAACCGGCGTTCTATTCGGATGAAGAGGGTAGGCCCTTTCTTTCCCTTTCCCGGTGTTTTTTTTTTCTTCCCCTTCCCTACCTCCATCTGCACGATCACAACATCCAGATTGTGCAATACGCATTTGACCCCAATCGCCGCTGCAATTCCGAATTACTTATTTTATTCTGTCCATCGGGTTTCACCCGGATTCGAACTGGGGCCTGTGTTTCAGCAGTTCATGGGTGTACCAACTGACGGCCCCAAATTTTTTTTTTTTTCTTTTTCTTTTATTTTTTTAAATGCGTGTTTGCCTCCCCTCAGTTGGTCACTACAGAAAGAAGAAACATAACCAAAAAACAGCTAGAAAAGAGGTACTTACGCGGAACCGATCACCAGAATGTGACTCCAAGTAATAGGAGATAAGGGAGGCAGATGAAGGGAAAAAGAAGAGGGGGGGAGGTGGGGAGGCGGAGAGAGAGAGAGAGAGAGAGAGAGAGAGAGAGAGAGAGAGAGAGTTGGGAAGGAAGCGTGGACCTCTAAGTGGAAGGCTAGACTACCCGTATTCCCCCGAATAAAACGTAGAGTCAGTATCGCTGCATCTAGACTCAAAGTTGGCCCAAATGTACAGCCATAATGACCGTCTGAATCTGGACTCAGAGTCGGCCCAAATACAACTGTAATGACCTTACGTTGTATTCAGGTTAAGACGAGTAGTGGACGAATCTTGCTCTGCCGAACCAGCGGACCCCTGGAATGGCCAAACGACGTTAAGCGGGTAGCACACAAAATCCACACCTTCTCGATCACGCGAGCGAGGAGATCGCCAGCTCTACAACGAGATCCATGGATTGAGCGACCGGATCGTTGGATTGAGCGACACGATCTATCGGGTGGGTGGAAGTGGGTTGAGCGACCAGATCGATCGACGGATTGAGCGACGAGATCGATCGGTGGGTTGAGCGACCAGATCGATCGATGGGCTGAGCGACCGGATCGATCGGTGGGTTGAGCGACCAGATCGATCGCTGGATTGAGCGACCAGATCGCTGGATTGAGCGACACGATCGATCGGGTGGATGGAGCGACCAGATTGATCGGTGGGTTGAGCGACCAGGTCGATCGATGGGCTGAGCGACCAGATCGATCAATGGGTTGAGCGACCAGATCGATGGGTTGAGCGACCAGATCGATCGATGGGCTGAGCGACCAGATCGATCGATGGGCTGAGCGACCAGATCGATCGATGGGTTGANGGGTTGAGCGACCAGATCGATGGGTCAAACGACCAGATCGATGGGTTGAGCGACCAGATCGATCGATGGGTTGAGCGACCAGATCGATCGATGGGTTGAGCGACCAGATCGATGGGTTTAGCGACCAGATCGATGGGTTTAGCGACCAAATCGATCGATGGGTTGAGCGACCAGATCGATCGATGGGCTGAGCAACCAGATCGATCAGTGGGCGGAGCGACCAGATCGATGGGTTGAGCGACCAGATCGGTTGTTTGAGCGACCAGATTGGTTGTTTGAGCGACCACATCGCTGGGTTGAGCGACCTGTTCGGTTGAGCGACCAGATCGGTGGACTGTACGACCAGAAGGACAGCGTGAACGACGAGATCGATCGTGCGACGCGATCCATCTTCTTCAGGTAACGACAAAAAAGACTGCGTGACCAGCCTTGTCGAGCGTGCGACACGATCGACCGCTCGAGTGGCGCCTCGATAACTCCTGTGGGCGACGCGACAAATTGGGCGACCGACACAGTCGATTCGCTGCGCGACGTCGAGAGATCGCCTGAGCGACGCGAGAGATCCTGTGGGTGGCGAGAGGGGACAGACCGGGTGGGTAACGAGTCCTTTTTTTTTTTTTTTTTCCCTTAAACGACTCGTTACTTCTTTTTTTTTTTTAACGAGTCATTACCTTGTTATTTATTTATTTTTAACGAGTCATGCACACAATTTCGATTCGAAAAATTTCAGCTCCTGGCATGATGCCGTAAGCACAGGTCTATGCGCTCTCTTCGGTGTGCGACGTCGAGAGATCGGCTGAGCGACGCGAGAGATCCTGTGGGTGGCGGGAGAGGACAGATCGGGTGGGTGACGCAGCCGATCACTCCTGTTAGCGACGCGATCCATCGCCGGTGGGCGTCGCCACCGATTGGGACTGTGCGACAAGGTAGATAAAGGGAACAGTGCGCTACAGTGTAGAGAGAGAGGCATGAAAGGCGCGTGATCGGCGTGATCGATCACGATGAGCGACGACACCATAGCTCGGATTGCAGCCCGCAATTGACTACCGTCTTCACACGAATAGAACGCCCGGTCATTATCGCTGTATTTGGGGCAATTTTCGGTCCAAATGCATCAATAATGACCGGGCGTTCTATTCGGGTGCAGACGGTCTGTCGGACGAGGGAGACAACGCCAAAAAAAAAAAAAAAAAAAAAAAAAATCCTCACTACCATCTTCACCCGAATAGAACGCCCGGTCATTATCGCTGCATCTGGACAGAAAATGGCCCCAATTACGACTATAACGACCAGGCGCTATACTCGGGTAAAGACGGTAGTCTATGTATAGTAGGGACGAACACCAACCAACCCGGATGACTACCGAGCCAGATGCGGCGCGAACTGGGGAGTGAATCCTCAGCTAGAATCTGGTCAGGTACACTTGGCATGCCTTTTGCCTTTTTGTCACAAATTGGCGGGAGGGTGATTCGAGTCCCCCGCCTTCTGTGACCGCCCTTTGAGCCCAACGCATGTGGAGGAACTTTCAGTCTAGATACAGCGAGCCGATAATTGACAGCATACAGCACATTCTGTGTGTGTGTGCTCTTCTTAGCGTCTTCCGTCCGAATGGGAAGGAAAGCACGGTGATCGCCATTGCACCCGTTATTACAGTATTTGGACCAACTTTCAGTCCAGATACAGCGAGCCGATAATGACCGTCCGTCCTATTCGAGGAAAGACAGTAGTCGCTGTGCAAGTGAAAACGGAGGCATTTCAGTTTAATATCTGGAAAAAAAAAAAAAAAAAAAAAAAAAA